CAGCTAAATGTATCAAAAGTTTGTCTATGGAATATTAGAATTTTCTGAGACAATGAATTTGGTTTTTTATTTTTTTCCCAGTAAGAGGTTTTTTATTTAATTGAATTTTTGGACAAAAAGAAATCGCAATATATCAGGATAAATCGTATCGTGACCCCTCTGTTATGATATGTATCGTATCGCCAAATTCTTGCCAATACACAGCCCTAATAAATACGTTAAATTTTTCTCACCTAAATATAAAACAGAAATAAATACCTGGCTTCCTTCCCGTGGTCKGCGATCACTCGGTCGTCTCTGCCTAGATTCCTGGAGGAGATCCGGTTCAGCTCCATCTCCAGTTCCTGGATCAGTGCTGTGAGTCCCCCCTCCTGAAACCGACCTCTGTGTCTGGAGTAACCCGCCAGCTGCTCGTCTGCTCCTGTTCCCGTCAGGATGATCTGCAGCCGAAGAATAACAACGTGTCAGTCTTTTAGCTAGCTAGCTAAATAAATAACTAACTAGAACCCCTCAGAGTTTCACCTTGGCTGCTGAGGAGACGGGTCTCAGACCTTGGACCCCGGCCCCTCGTGCAGCGAACCACAGGGCGCACCCGATGCTGTCGTCCAGCACCGWGTCCAGAGGATGAATCAGGTGACTGATCCTCTCCTGCCTCGTCCTCTGCAGCTCCTCCAGAGTCACGTTGATCTCCACGAACCTCCAGCGCCTCTCGGGGTTCAGCTGCTGCAGCTCTTTCAGCCCGACCCGTCCGGTGAGCCGGTCYGGGACGCCGAAGGGATCGGGYGTTTGTTTCTTCGCAGTCGCCTCCCGTTGCAGCTGGAAGGCCACGTTGAGAAGATCGATGGGTCTGTGAGCGGGGACGTGACGATCCGCTAACGCAGCCAGGACCATGGAGTCCACCCCGCCTGAGAACAGRACCGCCACGTCTGCGGAGTCGCCGGACGGCGGCTCGTTCTCCGGCCTGAAGGGACGGGCGAGGACCCTCTTCTTCACCGCCTCGCTGAGGACGTCGATCAGACGGTCCACCTCGGCCGGTTTCTCTCTGCTCCTCAGCAGATCCTCCAGGTCTTCGACAGGTGAGTCCGAGCGAATCTCCAGTTCAGTTAAACCGTTTGGAACGGACTTGTTCAGAGAACGAACCGGAGAGTTCAACACAAGACCGCTTGGGTTTAAAACAGCCGTGCAGCCGCTGGGAACAGACTCCTGGAGATTTTCACCACTTCCTGCACAACTCCAGGGAAAAAGCTCGAAGCTCAGAGATCCGGATCGAGYAGCTTCCTTCAGGTTGACCCTGAAAACACCAACGGCTGGGATTTCTTTCCAGGTCGAGGTCTGAGCTGMGACCGAAGTAAGGGTCAAGACATCCGCTTCAAACTTCCACAACAAGCTCCGCCGGCCGAAGAAGTCCCTGCCGAACCACAGGAAGTCCTCGGCTCGCTGGTAGTAAACCAGCCCCCACGGCCCCTGGATGCCCGACAGGACTGAGAGGATCTCCGATGGCGTCTCGCAGGAGGACAACCTCCGACAGGCGACGTCGGTGTCGTTCTCCTCGGGCGTCACCTCCAAACCTCCRAAAATCTCCCCGTTCCACATCAGGACGTTCCCGGCGTGGTCCTGAACGGGCTGCGGCGTGAAGAGGCCTCTCATGTGAAGAAGGTGAGCTGAGAACAAACACCGGTAGCTGGAGTCCGGCCCCGTCACCGTCACGTCCCGGCTGGAGTCGGGCCCTCGCCTCCGCAGGGATTCAGACGTGGTTCTGTCGCGCTCGCAGCCAGAGGCGGACAGACTCAACTGACAAAAGATGCCACACATCGTCGACTTCCTACGCGTCCTGCAGCTCCTTCTTCAGATGATCCAGATCTTCTGGAAACAAAAAACACTCAACGTTACTGATCGTTTTAATCAAAAACATAAAACAGATTTTCTTTACTTACTTTTACAYGAGCTTAGAGTCTGACTTCTGTCAGCCAGAAAGAAAATATTACTGTTTCTCTGCTGGATGTAGACTTTCTGAGGAAATAAAAATCACATAAACTAGGCCAGTCACAGCAGGGTCTTGGAATAAACACAAATAAACATGAAAACCCACTTTTTATATTGTCTCGCAAATAATTGATATTTTAAAAAATCATTTGAGTTTGATTAAATGTAATTTTAAGTCAACAGGACTCAGTTAAAGGTGTCATAAATAGCATAAATATGTATTTAAATCCTCACCTTGTTCTTCTTCAGATTCAAGAGCTCGTCCAAAACAACTTTCTGTTCTTTTATCTGTAAAACAAGTTATTGTTTATTTAACCCATTCTGGTACAAAACTCACATTTTGTACACAACTTTATTTATAAAGCCMTTTAAGACAACCACAGCTGCAACAAAGTGCTGTAAAACCACTAAAACCAGTTATAAACAATAAAAATATAATAAAAGCCTCAGGCTGTGCCAAAGACCAGAGAGTAAAAGTATGATTTTAATCAAGTTTTTAAACTTGTCTAAAGCAAGTTTTGAAGACTTTAATACGCTTACAAACAACCCGACAGTGTTTTTGCTTCATCACACGACCTAGCTAACACGCTAGCATGTAGCTAACACGCTAGCATGTAGCTAACATGCTAGCATTAGCCGCTTAAAATGATTTAACAAACCTTTCTGTTCAGTTCCTCCTTTAGTGCAGACTGCTCGGTCAAACTTTCGCGGCTTTTTGAAGACATTATGGTAAAAAAATTAATAAAAATCTGGTTTAAAACTCTTTTTTTTTTTTAAGAAAAAGAGTTGCGTTAAGTTCTGTAAGATCACTTCCGGGAGAGCGGAAGTTGTAATAGTCGTGACATCAGTGCTGCCACCTGCAGGTGGCGGGTATTATTACAACTTTAACCTGGTAGAGCTGGTTTATTTTTTTATTAGTGTCATTATGATTTATAATATATTATGATAACATGTTATATTTATTGTTAATACTAAGTTTTACAGAAAAGAGAAAGGCTCTCCTTCTATACAAGCCTTGACCTTTGACCTGCTAATGGAGGCCTGTAGATAGATCCAAGAAAAATCATGGATTTAACCTCAAATTAATCATGTTAAATAAAAAATGCCCTGAATGACAAGTCTTGCAGTCTGTTTTTGGTTTGTGTTGGGTTGCAGGTGGTAGAAATGGTCCAGCTGACCCAGATGTTGACTTTGGCTCCAGCTGTGGGTCAAACACCTGGTTTTTGTTCGTCCAGCTGCAGAGAGGTATTGATTGGAAACATCTGCCAGATGTTTGCTGTCCTGGAGGGAGCGAGGCTGTCGTTTTGGGAAAGGTGGCCACGTCGTCACGGCCAGACAGTGACCTTTGATGTTTATTGTTCTCAGGCACATATCAAAGTCTTAGGCCCCGGGTGAGCAGCAGATATCCACAGAAACAAAGAGACCGCAGCATTGTTGTGTTTGTGTTGCTGCTGGTCACCTGCTGGCACAGATTTAGATTTGAGCCTCGAGTCGCTTTAAATAAAAAAAAGACGGAGCTGTTTTTAAACACCTTCCTGCTCTGTCGCAACCGCCCACCAGATGTGGAAAGAATGGATGAATAATCTGCCGTAAACGGCCCAGGTGAGGCTCTGCATCCCGCCTTTAGCTGCGGCCWGTGAGCGCGAGGCCGCAGGACGACGGGTCATCCTCGTATTTTTGTCCTGCAGGTGCAAATTTAGCCCAGGTAAACACGGGCCGTCGTACCTGCAGCTCAGGTGGCCACAAAATGACAGAGCAGCCGTCTGACCGCCATGAGCCGGGCTGGGCTGACACACCGAGCCACTAATCTGTTTGTAGAGCGTGGCAGGTTCTCCCCGCCGGCCCGGCCCGGCCCGGCCCGGCCCGCGGTTCTGTCTCCATGAATAGATCACAAAGGAACACACGTGTCTATTGTTGTCTCTACATGTGTGCTCATGTTGCTTCAGACCATGAGACTGATCCTCCGGTCTTCTGTRCACCCACACAGTGTGGCTCTAAGAAAACATGTTTCATGAGACTACAGTAACAACAAAAAACTTTATTAACTAAAGTATTCTGAGTCAAAATGTAAAATTAAACACAACAAGTAAAGTTAAACACAACAAATAAAGTTAAACGCAACAAATATTATTAAACACAACAAATAAAGTTAAACGCAACAAATATTATTAAACACAACAAATAAAGTTAAAC